ATCTATCTATCTATCTATCTATCTATCTATATCTATCTATCTATCTATCTATCTATCTATCTATCTATCTATCTATCTATCTATCTATCTATCTATCTATCTATCTAGCCGTTTACGCTTGGGCGCTCTCGTGGTCACCTCTTTGACTCGGCGTGAACCAACATTAGCATGGGAGGTTAAAATGAATTGACGAATATGACACGAATATGACGCGCTGGTCAGGATGCATGGATAATGTCACAATCCCGTCATGTACGCCGTCAAACACTTCCCGCCAGACAGTGGCACATACCCACGGGCGGGTATGGGCCACTAGTATGCGGGTACGGGCCACAGGTGATTGACACTTAGCACCTACCTAGGAACGACGGGAACACACATGGGCAAGTTCAATGCTCACGCGTTGAAATTGCACTTGTGTGTATTATTATTATAAAGGCATGCTCTCGAAGACGGCGTTCTCCCAAAGTGCGACGTTGGTATGTTTTGATGGCACTTACTACTCTGGGACGTCATCTCGAATATCGGTTGCGTCGACCCAAAGAAGGCGTAGAATAAATGTCAGGGTTCCAGCTGGAATCAAACAGAGGAATTCTGCGTGGCAATGGAGCATTCTACAACCGAGGTACGCCAGGTCTCGGAACTACCCTTCAAATAGACGCTAATCTTCGTGAAACGTCAATAGTGGTTGCAGTGCTGCCTACACAATATTACATGCACTCCTTGGATATAGCCGTCACGTCGTTTTAACGTCAATTGAGGTTAGGCTCCATGAGCTGAATTTGACCAGCATCTTCGCGATCATCAGCGCTTCATATCAGCTTCTTGCGTTGGTAATGCGCATGTTCCAGATGCCATTGTTGCGCAAGTGCAAACAGCTGGTTATATCAGCATCTGCAACTCTTCAACACATGTCGGTGCGTGCAACACTTGTACATATATTTAGCGCCATTTCTTGTCGTGTCGCTCAATAAATAAATTGCAACACGGTCACCATACCTCCGCATGCTTCGCATAACGTTGATTCCCAGGTATATGGGATCTGCCTAATTTTATTATTATTATTATTGTTATTATTATTATTATTATTATTATTATTATTATTATTATTATTATTATTATTATATTATTATTATTATTATATATTATATTATTATTATTATTATTATTATTATTATTATTATTGCAAGCTTTTGAAGACGGCGTGCTCCCAAAATTCGTCGTTGGTATGTTTTGATGGCACTTGCTTCTCTGGGACGTCATCTCGAATATCACGATGACAAATTTTAACTTGCTGTGTCCCTTACTTCATATGGCACTAAAGACACATTTCCATCTTTTGGAAATAGGCACATATTTGTCCATGCTGCCCTGAGTGCTGATCTTGGCGTCTGCAGAAAAATGCGAACGCATAATCTGGGAGGTCGTTCTAACCTTAAAGACATTAAGTAAATCGGGAGACCTTTAAGGTTCGCTTCTAAGCGTTGAACTCGGTAGCAACATTCTGCCCCTAGTACGTACTTCAACTAGTTGGTGCGTAATTTTTATTGTATGATGCTACTACAGAAGTTTAAATTGTGGATTACTGCAATACAGTAGATAAATTTGAAAGTGCCTTGTGTCAGCGAAGCATTGGCATATGGCTGCATTCTGTGTAATGGTAGCATGCTTTAAACCAGGATGAACGTTTGGAACTTACGATGCACCAACCAAGTGGTCGTAACGAAATGGGTGCGGTAATGTGTGTGCCTTTTGTAATGAGCAACCGGTTTGAACCACGAAGTAATTTTGGGTAATCACACACTCTGACGCCCAATGTCAATGTACGCTTGTGCAACGCATTATTACTGCAATATTACTTGTTTTATTGTGAAACCTGTATACAAGACGCTTGTGTTTGTAAAAAAAATAAACGTTATTTTCTCTGCTTTTTCAAGCAGAGGAAGTTATTGCAATTCTGTTTAGAAGCAGACGCGTGGCTGTGTGGTAGAACAGCTGCTTGCCTCACGAGCGGCCCAATTCTCACTCGACCCAGAAATATTTATTCATTTCATTTGCATCTTTCTCTATTTTTGGGCCAGGCACAAGATGATTTTTTTTCGCTCACAACCAACGTATCCACGTCGACAATGACACCGACGCCGGTATTTTTGCGACACAACCTCCTTAACGCTATCGCGTTAACAGTGCATGCCACACGCATGTTTGTTCGCTGATCTCACTCGCTGTAAGTTGAATGAACTGTGCTGTTCTTATTTTGCGGAGGCTCGAGACATTGAAATGTCAATGTGAATCGGCTGCACGGCATGTTAGCTAAAGAAGGATTGCTTCATTAGTATATTATTCGATCGACAACCAAAAGTTTCGCAATAGCCAAGACTTGATCCAGTTCATATATCATGTGGAACCAGAGGTACCTCCGCTGACTCAATAGAAAATACTCTGAAAACGTCATGCTGGGAGTTTTCATAAAAAAAAAAACTTTCTGAAAAGATCACATACAATGTCAAAAATGTAGCACTGCAAATGTGTCAAGGTAAAAACAGTGCAAGTTTTATACAGGCAGAGGAAAATTAAAAAAAAAAACCACAGTTAAGTTATGTAGAAAGTGTTCCTCATGCGGAAGCTTAGCTGTATGAAAGGCAATCTTTTGTTCTGATGTATTGTTCTCGCCTAGTTTAATAGACGTCAGACAACCTCATTTAGCCCGTACGAATTTGGTGCAACTTTGACGAATACATGAGGGACAGCAGCTTGTGAAGAAAGCTCGATGTTCTGTTCCACTCGTTGCCACAAAGGAAGCAGCGCTGAACTGTCCCTGCAAGCGCTTTCCCTGGTCAGATTACCATTGAATAAAACAGAAATGGCAGCATAATACAGGCAGTTTCAGTTTCAGTTGAAACATTACGTGTGGTAAAAATATTAGCGTTCGCAATGGCGTTGACTCGGGCTGGTTGCTTGTCTCTGCGTGCTAGACCGTAGTCTTTTGCGCTGTTATTTCTACAACTAGCGTCCACATCTCGCAGTATTGCACCTGGGTCAATGAGTGAATCAACAGTGTACTGTGTGATAATACGATTATTAGTATTTGGAATAAATAAATGTGGCAGAACCTAAGTAGCTTTAGATGCCAATTAATTCAATTCCACATCGCTTGAGCACGATGTACACTATATACGACCGAATCCGCTGTGACGAATGTCATAAAGCTATGTTAATAATAAATAATAAAGTTATCCGTGGCAGCAAGCATGGAGCCTTGAACTCAAGTTGAGGTTGTTTTACGCAGCACGCATAGTTAAACGCTTTCGTCTTGGACCCAGTACTGGACAAGCACTGATCTCCGCTGGGAATGGCTAGATCCCAGAAATACTGAGGATGTTCAGTGAACTGTCAAGGCTATCGGCTAAATGACCAAGCAGAACCACTAGAAGAAGACTAGCGGAAACACTGGTATACGCTACGCGGGTGACCTTTTCCGGTCCTTTAACACCCAGCATACGGCAGTTTATTGGCACGGTATTACGAGGCTGTTAGGAATCCACTGTCCCGATGAATCAACTGTCGCGATGGATCGGTCTAGAAACCAGAGGAGGTGTCTGCTTCTAATCTCAGGCTGTCTTACTTGTTGAGCTCACCGTCGCCCAGTTCGCAAATCTGTTACGCGTAAAACGTTTCCCAATGTGTTGCTTGGCGCGGAGTACTCTGAATTCTTCTGCAGATTAGTGCCATGGCTCTATCGAAAGTTGGAGTGACATTTAAAGATAAAACCCTTACTTACACCGTGCATTATTTTGCAGCTACAGAATGAATAATATCGTGCTTTGGCAGACATAATGCAGACTTGGACTTGGCAGCTATATTCCTTGTTCAAACTGAATGCTTGTATGTATATATGCTGCGCTATGTGGCATCTTTTTATCTCTTCTCATTTTCATCTGCCTCTTTTAATTTCCTCGACCCCTTTCCCATGTGTAGAGTAAAAAACGTGTTGCCCTGGATTAGTTATCTTTCTTACCTGTCCTCTACTATTTCTTCTCTGTTGACGATAAGATAAAAGTGCTAGTGCTTGAAGAAAATTTGGAGGAAAATCTGATTATGCTCGCTGCTCCACACGAAACTGAAATTCTGAGAATTATATATATGCCATTACTTTTCGTTTTCAGTTCTGTGAGTTTTTTCCCGTCTTATATTATGTGCTCCGCGAAGAGGAAGGAATTATAGTATTCGTCTGGAGATAATATGTGAATTTATTACTCGCAGAGAAGTTTCTAAAATAGATCACAAAGACTGTCATGCATCAATAGCACTGTAATGCTTTTTCAGCTGCAGTTGCTCAATGAACAACGTTCAACATATATAAGGCACTGCGTTTAAAATTTTATAGCAAAGCACCAGGCGCTTTCAAGCGAATGAGCATGACTTCTCTGCGAAAAATCATCTTGCTTGTAGCAGGTTTTGTTGCTGTAGCCAAGCTGTGTAGTGCTACGCATGGAACTTCCGGGGAAGAAATAATGGCGGGAAGAGGACAAAAAACATTGCTAGATTGGAAACATGTCGCCATACCGGACCTAGCTTCTAACCGACTCAACGTATCTGACGAAGCCAACGGACGAGAAAAGATTGGCTATACTGGCAGTTCGCATCGTCAAAGATCTGAGCAAGGAAATTCACCAGAAGGAGATACGTATGTACAAGGCAGTGCAACCGAAAAGCGAACAGGTGACTCAACAGAGGAAAAGAAGCTCACCAGCATGGTAGATAACAATCACTCTAACACTGCATATAATAGGGAACCTAGTAATTTCCTAGATAGAGAGAGTTATCAAGAGGAATATGAAGGATTACCTGGCGCATCAACGAGCGAACACAATTACGCCGGCGAAGCCGAGAAGACTTCACCACAACAAAATTTGTCTCAAGGAGAGACTACGATTTCTGCTCAGGTTGAAAGTGGTAGTACAAGCAATCACCAGCTATCTGAGAAAGGCAACACATCAATGGAAAAAACTACGCAACCAGCAGAGGCAGAGAACGAAAGCACAGGTGACCAAACATTCGACCACACTCATGCACAGGAAGAACAGGCTAGCACATCAACCAAGGAAGAACACTCCAGCAGCCAGGACCACGACACATTAGAGCAACATAATTTACCCGAAGGGGAGACCACCATCTCTCCTGAGGGTGAAAGTGGCAGTACAAGCGATCACCAACTACCCGAAAAAGGCAACACACCAGTAGAGAAAACTACGCAACCAGCAGAAGCCGGGAATGAAAGCGCAGCCGACCAAATAGTGGATGGAACTGATGGACAGGAAGAAGAGGCTTCCGCATCAACTAAGAAAGAACACTCTAACAGCGAGGTGCACGAGACAACGGAGCAACATAATTTACCCGAAGGAGAGACAACCATTTCTACTGAGGGTGAAAGCGCTGTAACAAACAATCACCAGCTATATGAGAAAGGCAACACACCCGTGGAGAAAACTGCGCAACCAGCAGAGGCGGGAATGAAAGCACAGCTGACCAAGTAGTGGATGAAACTGATGGACAAGAAGATGAGGCTACCACAGCAACCAAGGAAGAACACTCTAGCAGCGAGGTGCACGAGACATCGGAGCAACATAATTTACCCGAAGGAGAGACTACCATCTCTTCTGAGAGTGAAAGTGGTAGTACAAGTGATCACCAACTACCCGAAGAAAGCAACACACCAGCAGAGAAAACTACGCAACCAGCAGAGGCCGGGAATGAAAGCACAGCTGACCAAGTAGTGGATTTAACTGATGGACAAGAAGATGAGGCTTCCACAACAACTAAGGAAGAACACTCTAGCAGCGAGTTGCTAGAGACATCGGAGCCACATAATTTACCCGAAGTAGAAACTACCATCTCTCCTGAGAGTGAAAGTGGTAGTACAAGTGATCACCAACTACCCGAGGAAAGCAACACACCAGTAGAGAAAACTACGCAACCAGCAGAGGCCGGGAATGAAAGCACAGCTGACCAAGTAGTGGATGGAACTGGTGGACAGGAAGAAGAGGCTTCCGCATCAACTAAGAAAGAACACTCTAGCAGCGAGGTGCACGAGACATCGGAGCAATATATTTTACCCGAAAGAGAGACTACCATTTCTATTGAGGGTGAAAGCGCTGGTACTAACAGTCACCAGATATATGAGAAAGGCAACACACCAGTAGAGAAAACTACGCAACCAGCAGAGGCCGGGAATGAAAGCACAGCTGACCAAGTAGTGGATGAAACTGATGGACAGGAAGAAGAGGCTTCCACATCAACTAAGGAAGAACACTCTAGCAGCGAGGTGCACGAGACATCGGAACTACATAATTTACCCGAAGGAGAGACTAACACCTTTAGTGAGGGTGAAAGCGCTGGTTCAAGCAGTCACCGGCTATCTGAGAAAGGCAACACACCTGTAGAGAAAACTACGCAACTAGCAGATTCCGAGATTGAAAGCACAGCTGACCAGACATTCGATGCAAACTGATGCACACGAAGAACAGGCTAGCACAATAACGAAGAAAGAACACTTTAGACGCCATGTCCGCGATAAATCGGAGCAACATAATTTACCCGAAGGAGAGACTACCATCTCTACTGAGGGTGAAAGCACTGGTACAAGCAATCACCAGCTACATGAGAAAGGTAACACACCAGTAGAGGAAACTATGCAACCAGCAGAGGCCGAGAATGAAAGCACAGCTGACCAAGTAGTGGATAAAACTGATGGACAGAAAGAAGAGGCTACGACAGCAACCAAGAAAGAACACTCTAGCAGTGAGGTGCAAGATACATCGGAGCAACATAATTTACCCGAAGGAGAGGCTACCATCTCTACTGAGGCTGAAAGTGGTAGTACAAGCGATCACCAACTACACGAGAAAGGCAATACACCAGTAGAGAAAACTACGCAACCAGCAGAGGCCGTCAATGAAAGCTCAGCTCACCAAGTAGGGGATGAAACTGATGGACAAGAAGAAGAGGCCACCACACCAACCAAGGAAGAACACCCTAGCAGTGAGGTGCACGAGACATTGGAGCAACATAACTTACCCGAAGGAGAGACTACCATCTCTACTGAGGGTGAAAGTGGTGGTACAAGCTATCACCAACTATCTGAGAAAGGCAACGTGTCAGTACAGAAAAACTACGCAGTCAGCAGAGGCAGAGAATGAAAGCACAACTGACCAAACACTCGGCCAAACTGGTGTACAGGAAGAACAGGCTAGCACATCAACCACGGAAGAACACTCTAGCAGTGAGGTGCATGAGACATCGGAGCAACCTAATTTACCCGAAAGAGAGACTACCTATCTTTACTGAGGGTGAAAGTGGTGGTACAAGCGATCAAAGCACGGCCGACCAAACATCTGACCAAATAAATGTATTAGAACAGGCTACAACAACAATCGTGGAAGAAAACTCTCTTGGTAATGTCCAGGAGACGTCTGAAGGAGATTTCAGTAAGTCTACCGAGGACGAAAACGTTGAGAGCGCAGCTAAAGAGGCCTCTGCGCTAAGCAGCGCATCTAAAGCGTCAGCTAATCATTCTGTGGAGGAAAACAGTGCCAGTGGAACAGAAAGCGAAACATCTGATAAAGATTCCATGACTGAAGGAAAAACTGGTAAATTGACTGATGATAATTTTGGAAATGCAGGCCAACGGACGTTTACTGAAGGGGATATCCATGAAGTTACTCTAGGGGCATCAAGCACCATAGAGAATGATACTAAGCAAACGAAGAATGCCTTACAAGAGGTAAGATTTTTGTGCATGGTACCAATTCTGGATGAGATTTGCTCTAGTTTTTTCTAAGAAGTAAACAACTACATTGGTGGGATAGCCATGATACAGACACTTCTCGCGTCTGTTTTCGCAGTTGATATTCTGTTCTGGGAAATGTCCAAAATATTAACGTCACGCTGCACGTAGTATGCACGATTACGCAAGTGCTGCCGACTGGTGCTGCTCAAGAGAAAGGGAATGCGCCTGTCATTTTTGTCGCGCAATAGAAGTGTAGATGGGTCAGGAGGGGGCGATGAAGAGGTGGTAAGGTGTTGCGAGGTTCCGGCTGGAAATGCTACCATGAACGGCCCGGCACATTTGAGACCATGGTCGCTCACCTCGTCTTCACGGAGGGCGAGGAAACAAACCATACGTGTGCGCTTGTCGTGTTACTATCACAATGATTGCGTTAAAGCTATGGATCACATGAAGTAATGAACTTCACGCATTTCAGTTGCAGCATTTCTCTACAGTACATTTTGTCATGTTATGATAGGTAACATACCAAATGATCGAGCTGCACAACCTTGCTTCGCACATCATTAAAGTTCTTGTTTTCGCATTCATGGCTTCGCCCTTGTGGGGAAGCAATGAATGCGACGAGGACCGATTTGAGTGATGTTGAAGTAAAACTCATTTGCTTTGCAGCAATTCGTTTCACTAACGTCCTTATTAAAGAAATATACACTGTCACGGATTCCGGTAGTTGCGTGCGATGGTAAGCGGCACAATACATTTAATACATGAAAAAGCACACAGCACACAGTGGTATGAAAACATGAAAAAACAATACATTTATCTCCAATTACAACCAATCACTACACCTAAGTGCACTAAAAACTATACTGTCACCAGTAACGTCAGCTATCTTTGGCATTAGTAGTAATTCTCTGGGCTGGCCTTAATTGGTACCGACTGATTCGTGTCTCGTCAACGTCCGTGTCGGCTTGGTTGAGTCTGTGTCGGTGATTTCGAGTTTCTGGGCGAAGGTGACCGTGCGCACCACTGCCGAATAATTGCCCGTTGTGGTCATCGCCTGACGTTGTCGGAGACGTGGCAGAGGCCTCAGAGCTCAAGCCTGCTGGCTTTCGGTGCCACCTGGTGCTACGGGGTGACGTGGCCCACTGGGGACTGTGACGGGCGTCTTGCTTCGAAGGAAGCTTGCGTGAGAAACGTCGGCAATCGCTGTGTGAGGGTGCAGCTTCACTTGAAGCGGGTCGAAGTCTATGGCCACCTCTCGGGCCGACCTCGTCACAAGCTGCCGGGTCGGTGTCCTGCCGCTCTCGTCACCGGTGGGCTTGCTGGCGGGATGGCCTTCTTCTTGCAAGCCCACGCCAACCATACCAGCGCGTCGTTTCTTGCGCCCAGAGTAGAGATCGGGTCACGCCGCGCCTCGTGCATCACGTTATGATGCACGCGGTCACACCATTTTGAACAATGTCTGCACCTCACCGTCACCGTTCATGCTAATGGCTTTTAATCGCGAGAACACGTTGTCTATGCTTTCTTTTGTTTTATACATGATGTATCATGTGATTTTCCGAATGGTAAGGTTTTCAGTTCTTTGCACCGTGTTAGTTTTAACAGCGTAGCTGTTGGGGGGCTTGTCATGTTCGTGGAACGTTCCTGGTCATCTAGCGCACATCTAGCACATGCGCAAGTTCTTACTGCGCGAATTGTAGCACGAAACACCGACTTCTGCTCACCTGTACATGTGCCGTGGCAATATATGAATGCGTCAATAATCCGTGCGTTTGAAACACTTACAGGTGATCTGTGCTTCCTCTTGGCAAATGCGTGCGTGTATTGCATGCAATAAAAAGAAAGCCTGTAGAACAAAAGCTCTTTTTTAGGGAATATTGAGCGCTGCACCCCATTTGTACCCTGGGACCCGTTTTGAAACATTGCGATTAAGCCGTCAATTTATTTATTTATTCATTTGTTTATTTATTTACTTATTTATTTATTTATTCATTTATTGACTGTGTGTCTGTATTCATTTATTGACTACATGTGTGTCTGTAGTGCCAGGGCACTACAAACACACATGTAGAATTTTACGTCTCAAAACCACCCTATGTATATGAGAGACACCGTAGTAGAGGGCTCCGGGAATTCCGACCGCCTGGGGTTTTTTCATCACCATCATCAGCCTCACTACGTCCACTGCAGGACAAAGGCCTCTCCCATGTTCCGCCAGTCAACTCGGTCTTGTGCTTCCTGCTGCTTTTTTACACCCGCAAACTTCCTAATCTCATCTGCCCACCTAACCTTCTGTCTCCCCCTAACTCGCTTGCCTGGGTTTCTTTAACGTGTACCCAAATCTGAGCACATCGGCCTACAGCATTTTCGCCTCCATGAAAAATGCAGTTGCCGCAGCCAGGAATAGACATATATTTTGTTTACTCTATTCTCGCAATACAATATAAAATATGAAGATATATGAGTTGTAGTTTCCCTGCGTACTGCCTTGACGATCACGAGAGAATCATTTGCCTATTGTTGTTCACTATTTGGCGCATGAACTGAAAAATTTTGGCATTATTCATTTAAGAAATATTGTGTATATACAAATGTTAGACATAAGAACGCTCTTCATTGTCTCCAAGAGTTGGCTTCATAAATTCTAAATTTTATAAGCGCCATAGGAATCTTTTCGAACAAGTAAAAAGGCAAACATTTTCTGTCATACACACACATATATACACGTTATGTACTTTCCTTTTGTACGTCCTTGGCAACTATGGAGAAACAGATACATCAATAACAGTGGGCGCGATTGCTGTTTGATACATTAGTACGTCGTAGAAAGCGCGACCAACCGATACCGATGATTGTTTTATTGAATGATGCTCTCTGTGTTGTCCAAAGTAATACTGAAGTGTGAAATGAGAAAGGAAGATGCTTACGCGGGATACTTTTGCAGTTTTGGGAGACCAATCTTGTTGCGTGGACGACGAGATCAAGCGACTCAATGTCAATTAAATGCAAGCATCAGGTACGCAAGAACATAAACAAGGCCGGTCTGTTGCTGCAAGAAACACAGTTGTTTGACGGAGTAAGGTATGACACATTACCTATAATTTCCTTGTTGAAGCCCGATTAAGAAGGCGGTTGCTCTTACAGGTTCTTCTCAGATCATTATTGGAAATTCGAGAGAAACGACACAGTTTCCAGGAGCAGCGCAAATAAGGGTAAGCTGTAAACAAGGCTGCTACTATTATTTCTGATCTTCTTTTTATTGGCTCCCCGAAAAAGTGTTGCGTTCTCACGCAAACGCGTCTAATTTCATTATGGTCAATATTGAAAGCGGCAAACAAGCGTTGGACTACTATTAGGAAGAATCTTTTTCACCAGTGCACAGAAGCTCGTACAGGCGCTCTCAGAATAATTCGGAACACTGAACACGCAGTCACTCGCTGGCGAAGTGCACCGATGGATAAATACAGGCAAGGTCCGCGCATGCACGGTATATCTTGCGAGCATGTTTGTCTCCCAAGTGCATCTAGGGCTGTGTTCCAATTCTTAGACATCACGCAGGCAGTTTACCCAACTGCTTAGAAGACAGCACCGAGCCCATGCTGTCCGAGAATCGGAACACATCCGGACGGCCTTTGCGCGACGATGCGCCACCTCGTGCCAACAAGCAAAAATAAACAAACGTAATCAGTTGTATTTTCTGGCCTATTTCGTGTTGAAAG